ATACTAACTGTTTCCTTTCTTGTGTCATTTACAATAGCTAAGAGGTTCAAGCAACCTTTCTTCAGAAGTCGTTGAGCCTTCATAAAAGATACAATTTTGCAAGTCTCTGGAACCTGACTCCCTCTTAGAATAAAACTGGGTTCATTTGGTATCTCAAACCTTACTATCTTTGCATGACAATCGACTATAGCATAGCAAGAAGATAACCAATCCATTCCCATCAGCATGTCAAACTCAATCATATCAAGTACAATAAGGTCAGCTAGAGTATCTCTACCCTCAACCCGAATCTGACGTGCACGATACACGTATTCAGTTAATAGAGACTCTCCGACAGGAGTAGCAACTAGAAAAGGATCATTCAATAGCTCGGGCTGTCTACTAAATCTCAAAGCAAAGTACGAGGACATATAGGAGTGAGTAGATCCCGGATCAATCAACACAAGTGCATCAAATGAACAGACAGAAAGAATACCTGTAACCACTGCATTCGAGGCCTGAGCATCCTGTCTCGTAAATGCAAAAACTCTCGCCTGACCTCTACCAGCATTGCCTTGTCCTTGATTCACAGTAGCACGGTCTCCAACACCTCGACCTTTGTTTCCTGTACCTGTAGCACCTGAAGTATTACGAGTAGTCTGAGTCAGTGCAGCTGACTGAATAGAAGCCTGGTTGAAATTTCTCGGAGGCTGAGGGCAATCCCTCAAGTGATGTCCCAACTGGCCACACCGAAAGCACTCTCCAGTTAGAACACGACATTGGCCCAAATGTGACCTACCACAGGTCTGGCAGACTGGAGTAGTGGCATATATCTGCCCAGAATTACAATGTCCAGAAGATGATGGTCCCCTATTACCTTGTCTGTAATGTGGTCTGTATGTGGACTGTGAAGACATGTGTGTCCCTGTCTGAGAACCCTGTTGTTGTTGTTGTTGTCCCTGATTTCCTGCTCTTCTATTTTCACTAAAACCGCCACTGAAAGCCCCTCCTGTCTTGGCCTTCTTACGTAATTCACTAGCTGCACGCTCTTCACGTCCCTTGTTTTCAATCTTTCTAGCAAGGATAACTACATTAGAGTAGGATAAAGTCTTCATTTGTGGGGCTACTGCAGTGTATAGACGACCAACCAATCCATCAACAAACCTCTGAATTCGAGCTTCTTCGGTAGGCACTAAGTGAGGAGCATATATAGCCAGCTTACAAAACTTAGTGTTATATGTTGACACATCCATATCTGGAGTCTGAACCAATCTCTCAAAGTCTCTAGCATGTTGTTGCATCAGACTGTCTGGAAGAAAATGATTCTTGAACAACTTAGTGAACTCGTCCCATGTCAGTGGTGGTGCTCCTGCCGGCCTTCCTAGCAATACAGTTTCATACCATGTGTTGGCCATATCCTCTAGTTTGTATGCTGCGAGCTCCACGGCTCTCTCACTAGAACATCCAAGAGCACGTAATGCCTTGAGTGTCCCATCCAAGAAACTTTGAGGATCTGCTGAATTATCGGAACCTGTGAATTTTGGTGATTTCAATTTCAGGAACTCGTGTAGGGATACTTCCTTATTTCCGAAAGTCTGGGTCTGTGCAGGTGCTTGTGTCTGTAAAGTAGCCTGAGGAGCTGAACTTCCTCCCTGAGTAGGCACCAATGCCTCTAACACATTCAATAACCTTGCCACTGCATCTGCAGGTAAGGCAACAGTAGGTACAACAGTTGGCACTGGTGGTGGAGCGTTCTGAACTCCCTGCTCTTGCACTTGATCTGGCATAACAGCTTGGGTTTGACCCATGTTCCCAACTTGAGGTTGAGGAGCAGTCTGTCTTCTAGTTTGATGAACCCCAACTTGACCGCCACCCCGGGTAGTACCACGTCCAGCACCACGTCCAGCAGATGAGGGTGTGCGTGTCCTAGCCATCTGCGAAAGAAATATTCCAAAGTCAATCTCAAGTTATCTCAACGCACGATCAAAGAATGAAAGAAGGGAAAACATTCCTAAATGTTCAGTAGCCTCAAGTTCATAAGTATGGGCGCCTACATACCCATGAACAAGACTCTACTAAACATTGCTCCATGACTCGGGACTTAAAGCCTAAGCTCTGATACCAACTTTGTCACGACCCAATTTAGGATTGTGACCGGCGCTTAGGAGCAAGTGCTCCCAAGTAAGCCTCATCGGTAATTTTACAGAAAATCGGACAGAGTTTCCCCTGTTTTTGGACCATCCCAAAAATTTTCCTGTCTCAAATCAGCAACCAAACATCCTAATATCATACCAAACAATTGACAACTTGTCAATTAACCAATACAAGTCTCCACCAGACTAAACCACCAACTAACCACTAGAAATACTAATTTATCTCCAACTTTGATAAATGAGAACGATACTCAACATAAGACTATAATAACAAAAGAATACTCATGACACTAAAATAATGACTATGGAGCGACTCTAAGAATTCAATGAAAAGACCATAACAATAACTAAAATCTCTGCCCACGCGAACAAGTGCGAGGCTCACCGAGAAATATCGACTTGTGCGCTTTAATTAACGAAATCCTCGCCTGCGTCAACTGCTGTCTCTGTAAAAAAAAATTAGCGGGGAATGAGTCGCTAGCTCAGTGAGTAATAACACTTAACCACAACCGTTTTTATTTGGGGACAAGTCAGAAACATGCTAGTATCTCAAAGAGAAAATACATAAAAATATCCTTTCAGAAACAACAAATAATTTTCAGTCTCATCACGCTTTTCTTGTAGTAAAATATAATTAACAATTCAGTAATAAGCTTGGTAACCACTGTATAATATCAGTATTCACATTTTGGGAGGTTTCAATGAATGGATCATGTAATCGGTATAACTGTGGACTTCTATGCAAGAAGTCATATATAACGGTAGTCCCTACTCGAGGGAAATCGGTAACGGTATGCTAGTTCTACCTTCCCACTAGCGAGGCTATAACGGTAATTGGTAATTACAAGGTGCACCAGGTCTAACGAACCCGCCGTTAGCTACGGGATCCTTCAAAGTCTACTCCCATTTATACTTGTCTCTGTATCCGTATATACTCATAGGAAAACTATTTTAAAACAATATAGGGCATTTCGGTCTTATCAAATCATATAATTTCCTTTCGATAACAGTAAATTCAAGTAACGGTAAAACAGATCTAGTGACAACGAAAATATTTAAAACCACGGTATTCATCTCAAATAACTATTTTGGTATCATATCGAGTAAAAGACTTGTCCCACATGCACTCAAAATAATCGGTAACATATTCATATTAAAAATCATGTGTAAATCATACAAGTTATGAAAACACAAATTGCGGTAAGATTACTACTCACCGTACTCGTACCAAAATACCAACTGCTTCACCTCAAGCAACTCGTACAAATTCCTCCAATCAATCTATAATTACATAATATCGATCTCATGTTAATTTTCCTTTTTTTTAGGCTAATTCATAGTTATTTTAGAATATCCCAATCCTCCGAGTTTTATACTTTATCATCAGTTCGCCGAATTATATTTACCCATGCTATGAGTAATTTAAATTAGTCCAAAATCTTTTAAGTAAAAATATATTTATATGGTTTATTCCTTTTACTGTTCAATTTCCTTAATCGTGTGCATAAATTGAAACTGAAATAACTTTACTGTACTATAATATTACCTNCAAATAACTATTTCGGTCTCATATCGAGTAAAAGACTTGTCCCACATGCAACTCAAAATAATCAGTAACATATTCATATTAAAAATTATGTGTAAATCATGCAAGTTATGAAAACACAAATTGCGGTAAGATTACTACTCACAGTACTCGTGCCGAAATACCAAATGCTTCAGCTCGAACAATTCGTACAAATTCCTCCAATCAATCTATAATTACATGATATCGATATCATGAGCCAATTCGTTGGAGTCTGATCACTAATACATACATACACACATATACATATACATACATACATATACATATACATATATATATAATATATATATATATATATATATATATATATATATATATATATATATTACTTAATGTAAGAGTACGTGAATTAAAAGGGAAATAACCTATTTCTATTTTTTTTGTCCTTATATTGATGATACTACCACCTCTAAGGCAGAAGGTTTGACTTTCTTATTTGAAAAAAAAAATATCCTTTCGTAAGTATACAACTTAAATATAATTTACATACAACTTTACTACAATTTCGTAAGTATATTGTATGTCATGTGTTCGTCTTTTTCTTCGTCAGGCTTCAATTTGCAATTCAGCCAAAATCGTCTTCTTCTTCTTCTTTAGGCTTCAATCTGCAATTTCAGCCATACATACATATATATATATACATATATATACAATATATATATATATATATGTATATATATATATATTACTTAATGTAAGAGTACGTGAATTGAAAGGGAAATAACCTATTTCTATTTTTTTTTGTCCTTATATTGATGATACTACCACCTCTAAGGCAGAAGGTTTGACTTTCTTATTTGAAAAAAAAAATATCCTTTCGTAAGTATACAACTTAAATATAATTTACATACAACTTTACTACAATTTCGTAAGTATATTGTATGTCATGTGTTCGTCTTCTTCTTCGTCAAGTTTCAATTTGCAATTCAGCCAAAATCGTCTTCTTATTCTTCTTCAGGCTTCAATCTACAATTCAGCCAAAATCAAGTCTAATCTTCACCAAACACCCTCAAAGAATATTCCCAATTTGTTTGCAACAACAACCAATACAAACAAATAATAGTTTTGAAAAACCAAATTCGAATTCAAAGCTTTGAAGCCTTTTAATGGATATCAATGGTGGAGAATCAAAATACCTTCAAAATTTATTGATTGACAATTTCAATTCGAACACCAATTGTGAACACGTGAAAGGAAATTGCTAAGTTAAAAATCTATATTAAAACAATTGAAATTCATTGATGAATTCCCCGAAAAAAGCGGATAAAAAGCATAGAAAAATGAAGGAACACAAATTGGTGAAAGAACAGAGGCAGTGAGAGAGAGAGACGGAGAGAAAGAGAGAGAAAGAGAGACGAAGAGAGAGATCAGGGATGTGAAATAACTGATTCCCTAATCAATTTCTAATATAAAGGGATACTCATTAATACTAATTGTATATAATTGGTAAATTGTATATGCCCATGTAATTAAGTTAAAACTTGATTAAAGAGTATAATAAAGTTTTGTACATAGTATAGGAAGGTAAAAATCCCTAATAATAAGAATAAACCCAAGCCCAACTCCAACTCAAGTCAGACGCTATGAGACATCTACTATTCACATATTACTGCGCTTGTACTTGTAATATATTCTCAAGCCTATATATTTCTTGGTTTTCTGTTTTGTCTTTAAGATTTTATATTAATGTTCCTCTTATCATTTGTTTATTGAGAAATTTTCATAAATAGATATCTTTTAGTGGTAATTAGCTCTCTATAGATACCATTTGCTATATTACAGCATGTAGATACGTTTTTAGATGTTTTAAGATGTATTTGATGTATTTAGGTTACTGTATTCTTGAATACATTAGATAAAAGCGGCGTGAATCATGGAAAACCTGTTAATAAGATGCTGCATTCAACTGTATTCAAGAGTTGAATCATTAAATACAGTAATGTATATTCCTTAAAAAAGGGACCTTTCAACTGATTAAAAACGGAAAGAAAATCAATCTAGCAAATAGTCTCCTAATATAACTCAACTAACACAATTATAGCACCCATAATCTGTATTTCCCCCTCCATCAACGATTTTCCATCCGAAAGTATCCAAAAACAGAGGATTCTGTCGATTTTCAAATCTCCCTTCTTTCTTTTCATGTTCTTTTGCTACAGTTCGTAGAAATCAATTTCCAACCAAAAAAATTTGAGATTGATACAATTGTATACAGAAATACGTTCAAATTCGATTTTGCATATGGCATATGTTCAAGAAGCTCTTTAGACATACACAACGCTTGGGAAAAAGTACCAGGAGATGCTTACCTTGAATGAGGCAATATCTACACGAATGATACAAGGTATTCTGTCCTATGCTATGTATTCTGTTTCTTTTTCCAAACTCCCAGAAATCTGTCCATTTATGTCCGTGTGTGCTTGTTAGGTTGCTTGAGTCCGAAGAGGTGGAGAAGAAAGGGGAGGAGATTCAAGGGTTAAGGGTGAGAGAATTTTTGGCGTCATCGGCTACAGATCTGTGTGTGTATATGATTTTTTGGTCTTCTTCTATGTTTTTTACTGAAGTGGGGAAATTCATCGGAATACAACTAACAAAGCTGTATTATATATAATTTTAATATGTATTGTCAATACGTATGATTCTAATGTTTTTGTTAGCATCCTGTTGCCTAAAGTACAGTAGACTTTTGATAAGTTCTGCACTAATTACAGTTGATATTCTGCTGGTCTAAATATATGATGTATTCATCTATATGCAAATATTTCAGGTGTATGTAACTTATTAATTTAGCATTATACATTTGGTAATTCAGTTATATGTGCTCAAAACTTATATTTCTATTTTTAAATGTAGGTGGTACCATCAACTGAATACTTACATACGGTTAACGATGGTGGGAGGAATTACACAATCTGCCTGTTAGAGAGAAAATGTGTTTGTGGGAGGTTCCAAGTTGATGAATTGCCATGCCCACATGCTTGGGCTGTATTGAAGAGCAAGTTTCTAATGCCAGAAGAATATTGCTCTAACTATTATAAACCAAATACAATTGTAATGACATACGATGTGCCAGTGTACCCGCTACCGGACAGAAATGACTGGAATATACCAGAACATGTTGCAGAGGAGGTTGTACTACCACCCAAATGGAAAAGACCTCCTAGAAGGCCAAAGAAGAAGCGCAATAAAACTTTAAGTGAATTGCTGCAGCCGAAAAATCAACATTCATGTAGCATATGTGGGCAGGGAGAACATAACAAGCGAACGTGTAGAAATGCTCCACGTAATAAATAGTTAACACTCTGACATGTATTGGTGCTTCAACGATTTGTCAATACGTATGATGACATTGTCAAGTAATAAATTCTCATTGTCAAGTAATATATTCTGAAATGACTTTCGTGAATAGTTTCTGAATACATATAGTTGAAGTATTTTTATACAGATAAATATATATGAACTATACAGTTTAGTAGAACTGAGTATAGATGAATACTAAAAAATACAACTGGATACAGCTGCTGTATTTTTATGAATAATACAGTTGAGTAGGACTGAATGTAAATGAATACACCAAAATACAACTGAATACAGCTGAATAATACACTTGAATACAACTAACTACTGCTGAATAAAACAGTTGAATACAACTGACTACGTAAAACCTGTTTAATACAGCTGAATTTGTATTCTTTAATATGTATTAACTGAACTTGAAAGATACATCTGAATGAATGCTGCTGAATACAACTGAATACAACTAAATTTGACAGTTAAATACAACTAAATACAACTGAATTCAGAAAAAATACATCTGAATTCTTTTATATAACCTACCATCAGCATACATAAAGTTTTTGACTTTGAAATTAACATGTTCATTGCCTAAAACCTGTTCAAGCAAAGTTACTTGGTATTAATACATACTTGAATCCTGTAAGATAAATATGAATACAAACTGAAGAATAAGCATGAATACTTATGAACAAACCAGAGAAACAACGATTGAAAAGTTGTAATTGTCATACACGAACACTGTTGATAAAGTGATAAGTTTTTCAAACTAAATACCATCTACACCAAAAACTACTCAAAACAGTATTCTTCTTGAAACTACACTCCAAAACTACAATAACCTAAAGCCGCTCCAACACTATCTGCATCTTTGAATCTGACTCCGTGATTTGCTTAGCAATCTTTGAAGGTGCTTCATTCTCGCTTATGGCATGAAGCATCTGAAGAGTTGATGTTGAACTTCACAGCGCTTCATTTGAAGAAAATTTCCAAAGCAAGTATTACCAAGTTGTTGGTACCGATCAGGAGTAAGGTTCTCTTTTAGCTGGGAGACTATATCAGTGTTAGTATAAACAATGATATGGGGTGCAAATTTTGGATGGTGTTTCACAAAAAACTTAATTCCCTGCATTTAACAAGAATAAATACATGTAAATACAATTGAATACAATGCATATTTCTGACATGAATACATATGAATACAACTATAAACACTTAGAAGTATAGATATAACTGAATACACAGAATATATTACAGTACATCTGACATGAATACATACGAATACAACTAAATACACTGACAAGGCTAAATACATATTAAAAAACTAGATACAACGCACATGACATAAAAAATAACTAAGCTGAATACATATGAATACAATTAAAAACTTACTGGAAAATTGAACAGTTGCAAAAAAAAAAAAATACATTGAAAAATAAATAGCTGCTTCAAAATACAACAGTGTTGGGAACCTTGAAAATCATTAAGAATAGAACTGTCAAAATACATAAGAATACATATACATACTTATAAACACAACTGAATACATTCATACCAAATAGTACAAAAATGTGAAATTGAATAAAACTGAATATATTTAAACACAACCAGATACATACGAATACAACATCATACATGTAAAATAAGGAATAATTATGAATACATATAAGTTTCTTTGAATGCATATTGATAAAATAGCAATTACATTTTCGTGTCGTGTATCTGATGTTTTTTTTGCAGCAACTTCCTTTACATTGACACATGAAGAATCATTCATAGGTTTTTTCCTCTTTGAAGCAACTGGATTTTTTGTTTCTTTTGAAGATTTCTCAACTTGGGCTTCTTTTGACTTGTCATTGTGCAATTTAGTTCTTCTCTCTGAAACTGTAGTTGCTGATAAACCTGCAAAATCCGACTCCGCTTGAGTTATTTGCAACGAGAAAGAGGACCGATCAAAATTGAGAATTTTGGTGGGTATACCTCTGGTTATCATCTTGTGTGGTGTTGAATCCGACATTGGAGAGAAAAACCAAAGCTTCCTGGTGAGTAAACAATACCAATGGTTATTGTTTCATAAACAAACTAAAATCGGTATGAAAATTAGAGAAACAAAATAAGGATGTCAAAATCGAAGAAGAAAACTTACCAGGAGTATACAAATCGGCAGTAAAACAGTGATTTTAGCTAGATTTTGAATGTTGGATTGATAATGGCGGAGAAATAGAGAATTTGGGTGGGAGAAGAGTTATGAAACGTGGGTTTGTGGGAGAAGCGAGTAAAGTGTATGCAAAAAGAGAGAGAGAAAACGTGGTTAGAGCACAAATACGGTGATTATGTGAGAGAAAATACTAAAAAGGCGAGAGAAAAATATTATTTAGCATATATGGTGCCTTAAATGTAGGATATAACTATAATTAGATATTTTTCTATAAAGGATAAAAGGTATTTATAGGATATAATATTTTAAAATGGTATTTATTTAAAATAAATAGGGTACTGAGGTTTTCTATAGGGTGTAAAATTTCCTTGTTTATTTGCACAACAGTGAAGGGAGTCTGCAACAGATGAACAGAGTTATTGGTAAGCAGAAGAGAAGGCAACTGTTGCACAGATGCAAAGTGCGAGCGCTGGCACCATTTCCTAAAGGATTTCGTGGTTAAGGAACAAATTACCAACGAAGAACAATTCTTTAGTTAGCCCACTTGTGACTAAACTTGTGTTTTTTCTTCGCTTTGTTTTGACTAGATGAGTTTTGGTCCACGTACACTTAGCACAACCAATATTATAAATTACAATTTTATTTATTTAATACTACGAAAGTTCGGACGTAGGATCTAGGGTGGTCCAAAAAAATAAAAAAACAGATCGACTTGAATTAATTTAGTATGATTATGTAACTGTACCGAACCAAACAAAAAAATACCGAATTGTACCGAACTATTTCGATACGATATTTAATTTGCATAATTGATATACCGAAGTACCGAACCGAAGTTTTTAAATACCGTACCGAATGACCTTAATCTAGTAGTCAAGAGAAAAGGTGTCAAGTTGACTATTGGAGCTAAATTAGGTGGATCTAAATAGATTAGTTTATAACTGAATCATGACTAATTCGCGTATAGTTAATATTGGAATTAAGATGAGTTAGGTTAAAATAATGAGAATTATCCAACTAGCTCCATGCTTACTGCGCGAAAGGAAATTAACAACGTAATCCACAAACACCGTTGTACTCGACGTGTATTCATATTATTGGTGGATTCTGAGCTGTCGCGACCCAGGGGTAACCTAACCATTACCCTTCTTTTTTCAAGTATATAAAGCGTGATAAAGACATTAGCTACCCTTTTTCAGTGTAAAACTTTCTGCTCGAGACTTTCTCCTTTCTGCAGACTTAACACATCTTTTTTTACCGCCGGCGGCGACCGGAAGTTGCAGGCGACGGTGACGGAAGTGTAAGGACGTGTAAACGAGAGGTTGAAGATGAAGATTTTTGTAAAGACTTTGAAAGGCACTCACTTTGAGATCGAAGTGAAACCCGAAGACACGGTACCTATCGATTTATCTCTCTTATCTTTTTAAATTGTATATTCATGCTTTCATGGGTCTATATTTGTGAAGTTGTGTGCAATTAGCAAATTGAGTTGTTGTAGCGGCGGTTGGACTCTGATTAGGGTTTAATAGCAGCTGGCGTGGATTCAGGATTTTAAGTCAGTGATACTCCTAACTGGTCCTGTAATAGTGAATACCGACTTGTTATGACAAAAATTCAATTCTTTATATAGTTCGAGTCAAAGTTAGTGGCGTCCTGGCGAAAGCTAAATCAATCGCTGTAGAGTGGTAGCTTTGTTTGCGAATTGTAGGTTATTTAAAGTAATATTGATATTGTTGTTGTTTTGATTCGTGGATTGATAGTATAGAATGCTGTGAAGTTATTTTGGGATTTCTTTTTTGCTAACCGTGGTGTCCCGGCCAGCTTGCGTGCACCTCGACTAATTTTGGGATATTTTATGCGGATTGCTTGAGTAGAACTGGATTTAGATTCGGGTAAATGATTGTTTACTATTGAGCAGATTCCATACAGTCCTGCTATTATTATAGCACTATGAAGAGCAAATATCTGCTGCCACTGTTGGGGACTCTTTAGTTTATACCATTTCCGCATCACCTTACAGGACTTTCTGCATCAAAACTTAGGTTAAAGAAATGCTTTAAATTATTATTTTGTTCTTGAGTCCTACGGGTGGAAGCTTGGGTGCAAGTATTCTCGTTTTTTCTAAGAAGGGTAGTTGGGAGTGATTTTAATTGAGTTGGGACTTGAGAGTGATTTTTATTGTTTCTAATGTTACTGGAGCAATTGGTTGTGTTAATGGAGTTCCTGTTTTTTAGCACGACCTTGGTTAGAGTGCTAGGTAAGTTATGTGATACAATAACTTGCTAGCAATAGGAAAGAGAATGATCTAGGTAGAAATAGGACCTTTCCTTCTTGTCACTACTTTCCTCTACTCTCAATAAAAAGAAAGGAAGGCAGGACAAACAAAAAAGAAAAAGTACAGTTGACAATCTTTCCTTCTGTTGGAAAGGTGATTGATTGTCGATTGGGTGGTGTCAGGACTGCTTCATGATTTTCTCGTGTTCAATTTTGAATTTCTCCTTCAAAAATGGGTCAACTAAGTTGTGAGAAGCAATAACGTCCGTTAAAAGCAATACTCCATCCGTTTCAATTTAGATGAGGTAGTTTGATTTGGCACGGAGTTTAAGAAAAAAAAGATTTTGAAACTTGTGGTCTTAAAAGCTTAAGGGGTAAAAGCTTTGTGGGGCCATGACATTTGTGTGGTTTTAAAAGTTTCTCATTAAGAGTAAAATGAAGAGTTCAAAGTTGAATTATTTCCAATTGTAAAAATGTCATTCTTTTTGGAACGGATTAATAAGAAAAGTGTGTCATCTAAATTGAAATAGAGGGAGTATGTATTATCCGAATGGTTGATTCTAAGTTC